ATAGGAGTAATCATTTTTTTGGGTGCTCAAGCAAGATCTACTAAGTGAATGTAAAATATTTAGCTCTATTTAATGTTCTCGAACTTCAGTTTTCGAAGCTAGGATTTCTTGTTAGTAAAGATGAAATGATCATTACTATCTATGTATCTCACTCTATCCCATAATGATCCATCATTTCTATCTCGCCACACCCATTAATGGTGTATTATTATTGTTGATTTAGTGCAAAAAAGACAACTAACGAACTCTTAAAGTTACAAGCATTTGTTAGGAAAAACTATTCAACTCCTGCGTTTGCCCATTTTCACTTTTTATTTAATATGCACGAGTTTGACTATAAAAGTAATCGTTAATGTTTGTATTAAAATATACAATTTATCACCTTTTCGAATTCGATGTGAATGCAAAATACTTTGTGTACCGTACTATCTTTTACTTTTATTGTTATTTAATATGCATATATTTAGAAACATATATTTTAAATTTTCATTTCACACTCTCTAATCTCTCGAATAATGCAAACAAACATTAAGACAAGTACGAGTGCAGATGTATAGATTAGGAAATATAACACTAGTAGTTTTTATGTTTGAAATATCATAAAAAAACATTGCATTGTTATTTTTTCTTCTTAGAAATATAGATTTTGATAAATCTTTCTGTTTCAACTGCTAAACTGATCTTCCATCAAATTGAAACATAACTGGAGCTTAACTCATGGTCAAACAACAAAAATGCAAAAACTCGAGGGGCTCCTAGTAAATAGCATATTTCTCTAACACCGTATAAACTATCAAGGGTAATTTGGGAATTTAAAATGCAATGTACACAACCTTTCATGTCATCTTGAATGAAGAAACCCCTCTTCTCTATCTGTCTAACGATTTACAGGAAACCCTAACTGTTCATCTTTTTTTTTTTTTTCCTCCCCTCAAAGTTGTTCCGTTCGGAAAAATCATACCCTAAACTGAAAAAATCATACATATGTAAACATATATCGGACAATATTATGCGTGTATAAGAATTTTGTGATTTGTGCATGATTGAGAATCAATATCAGGAACAAATTTTAGGTTTTTGTTTTGTTATTTTGTGTGTGAATATGCTAGGGTTTGGTTTTAAATTTTTTTTTTAATGGATTTTGGTGGTATCAGATTGGATCTGTTGATTGATTGATTAGTGTGTTTGAAGGTTATTTTCTTGCAATGGCAAACGGTTCGGAGCAAGGGGAAATTGTGGTTTCGTCGATTAGGACAGGAATGAAGCGTGAGTTTGCGATGATGCTGAAGGCTCAGGCTGAATGTGGCATTGGGATTGGTCAAAGGAGAGTTACTAGGTCACAGTTGAGTTCTCAGAATAGTCCGGGGAATAATAGTAATAGTGCTAAGGTTTCTGCGAAAAAGCGGAAGAAGGAGAGTAAAAATGGAACTGTGGGCGAAGATTTGTCAAATTCGAAGGAATTTGAGAGCAATGGGGTGGTGAAACGGGAAGAAAGTGTGGTTGTTTTGTTGAGTGAAGAGGAGGAGCCAAAGAGTGATGTGGTGGATTTGGATTGTAATAGTGATGATGAGAAGAAAAGTAATAAGATGGATGACGAAGTTGTTGGTAAAAATGAGCAAAATCGTGCAGATGATAGTAAGGCTGAAACGGGTAAAATGGCAAATGCGTATGATAACTTTGTTGAAGCAATGCCTGAAATTGTTCCTGAGTTAGCTGTTACTGCTCAGGTTGATGGTAAAAATGAGCAAAAAGATGATACTAAGATTGAAATGGCTAAAACAGCAAAGGCCGACGAGAGCATTATTGAAGTTATGCCTGATATTGGCACTGAATTAGCTGTTACTGCTCAGAGTGATGGTAAAAATCAGCAAAATTGCGGGGATGATAGTAAGAGTGAAACTGGTAAAACCGCGAAGGCCAATGATGGCTTTGTTGAAGCAAAGTCTGAAAGTGTTACTGAATTAATTGTTACAACTCTGGTTGATGGTAAAAAAGAGCAAAATTGTGGGGATGATGGTAAGACTGAAATGCCCAAAAAGGCCGATGATTGCATTGTTGAAGCAAAGTCTGAAATTACTGAATTAGCTGTTACTGCTCAGGGTGATGGTAAAGATGAGGAAAAGGTGTCATTTGAGATGCCCACAAGGCGGTTTACTAGGTCTGCTCTGAAAGCGAAAGGGGAAGCAAATGTATCTCAGTGTGATAGCATTAAGATTGAAGAGGAGGTTCATGAAACTGATTCTGTAGGAACTATGTCTGCTCCTGCAAAGTTGGAGTTGAAGATGTCCAAGAAAGTTGCACTAACTAAAATTCCCACAAAGTTGAAGGATCTGCTTGATACAGGTTTACTGGAGGGTTTACCTGTTCGCTACATTCGTGGCACGAAGGTGAGTTTTAAAGAGGCATTATTGAGTTGCAACTATGTTTAGAGATTAACCAAATCTTTGTAAATTAGGTGAGAGGGCGTCCGGAAACAGGACTTCGGGGAGAGATTAGAGGGCCGGGAATACTGTGCTTCTGTGATAACTGTCATGGGACATCTGTAAGTGTAGCTCTTTGGATATCATTCAGTAGATTAGCTGAAGTATCCATTTTATGATATAATCGTTTTACTGAATATAGGTTGTTACGCCAAATCAATTTGAGCTGCATGCGGGTAGTGCCAACAAACGTCCACCAGAATACATCTATTTGGAGAATGGAAAAACTCTGAGGGACGTGTTAATTATGTGTAAAGATGCTCCTTCTGATGAACTGGAAGCAGCCATAAAAAATGCCATTGGAAGTGCAGATGCCAAATTTTATGTTTCAGCATGCACGCCCGTAAAGGAGTTTAAATCTAACCCTTCTGAAATTAGTGAAGCTAGTAGCAGGTATGAGCATCTAGCTATTTTCATGGTCAGAAAAACTTCTATTTTATATGAGCTTATACATCATCCTTACTATTGTTAGCAAGATTTTTGTTGTCAATGTTTTTGATTACTTTGATATTATTAAGATTCCAAGAAAATGTGAAAATATTTGTATCTTAAAAGCCTTACATATTGCTTTTGATTTTGATGTGATATTTGGCTTTTTGAAACATCTTGAACACCAGTGGTCATTTACAGAAGTATTTTGTGTTACTCTTTTCTCTTTCTCATTCTTTCATTTGGTGATGGTTGGTCGGGGTTGTTAGTTGGCTTGTGATCATATCCAGATGAAATTTCCATGTTGTTTAAGGCTTTCTACTGAGGTGCTTTTGCCATTTGCTTGGACCGTTTGATTTCAATGTCATCATCTTTTCCTTGAAGTGACAGATAGCTTAAAAGGATGAAAATTCCTCATGGCCTGTTTTTGTTCAACTATATCTCTTCATATGCAAATGCTGCTTAACTTCTTTCCTTCTTTTCATTTCCTTTCTCAATGTATGAAGCTAAGTCAATAATCTGGTTTGAAGTTAGCGCCATACAGTTGGACTTGAGCCCAATGATTGCCATCCTTCTTACTGCATCGTTAAAGAATGATAACTGCCTGAACCAAACATCTGCCGACTTTATATGTTGATTTGTTTTCTCCTTCTGTTGTTGAGGTGATGCTGGAACATTACCATTATGTTCTTTCCTTGTTTTGGATAATTAAAACATTTGCCTTGTGCTTTTCCTCTTTATCCTTTTTGTCGTCTTATGATTCCTCACCTTCAATGGTGGCTATTTGTTACTTGTCGAGAACTTATAGGTTATCTCAGTTTATTATTTCCCACATTTGTTTCAGGTCCACCTCATCGGTGCCTGTTACAAAGTTGACCGATCGAATGCCTTCTGGCAGTGGAACTCAAAGCAAAGTTCATGGAAAGTTAACTAGAAAGTAAGCCTTTTTTCCTGTTAAAGTTTTTTCCCTGGTCTTTGATGATTTATCTTTGCCTTTGCTCTGACATCTAAGCGTTTCATTCTTTCTATTACCTTATGCATACTGCTATTGCTTCCTGGTGCTTCTTTTTGACTTCATACTTGCTCTGTCTCTACAGGGACCTGCGGATGCACAAACTTGTATTTGAGGAAGATGCACTACCTGATGGAACTGCATTAGCATATTATGTCCGCGGACAGGTTAATATTCAACTCAACCAATTGCTTTTCACATGTGTGTTGTAAACATGCTGGAAGTTTGCTCTGTAGATTTGTACATTCATAGTTCTCACTTGGTGCTCTTTTGGTGGAATAAAAGTTGCCTATCGAAAGAAAAGTTTGTTCAGTTTTTTTTTTCTTATCCACATTCATTGGGATTCTAATTTTCTTCCTGTCTCCTGGCAGAAATTGCTTGAGGGTTATAAGAAAGGTCATGGAATTTATTGCTACTGTTGCAATACTGAGGTACGTAGTTCCTGTGCTTAACTAGTAAAATCAGCTTTGATATGCTAATGTCCTCGTGCTCTTACAGGTCAGCCCTTCACAGTTTGAAGCTCATGCAGGTTGCGCTTCACGCCGGAAGCCGTGAGTATCTTTTTCTTATAGATATGTGGTTTAATCTGGATAAGTTGCGTGAGGAACAGTGACATATCCAAGTCATCTTCCCAGTTTTATCACCTTTTTTTCCAATTGAGTTGTGGTTTCTACATCTTTATTTTTTTGGATTTAGTTGTGGGTATGTTACATCTTAACGGATGATGAGAATTAATATTTGTTTAAGTCAAGAAGCAATTCTCGTTGATACAGTGAATAGATTAATATAAAGAGAAGAGACAATAACTAATATTCTTCAAATGCAAAAATGGACTAAGTGCAACTTCTTTGGCTGAAAGCTTTCATTTACCACTTTGTGTTAATCTTTTTGTGTTATTTGTCAGTTATTTGTACATATATACTTCCAATGGGGTGTCTCTGCATGAGTTGTCTATCAAACTTTCAAAAGAACGAAGGTCCTCGGCCGAAGAAAATGATGATCTCTGCTCCATATGCGCTGATGGAGGGGATCTCCTGTGCTGTGACAATTGTCCAAGAGCTTTTCACTCAGGTTGATATTATCTTTCTTGGGTCTCCTTTTAACAATTCGGTATCTAGTTGTCTTAGGATAGTGCGATATGTTGATTGTTTCAATGATGCATATTTCTCAAAAGACCTCTTTTAGTTCTATTTAGTGTATTACTGTTGAAATAACGATATACTAACAATCTGATATTGAACGGGTTGGTTGAAGGACTGGTGGAAAAAGAAATAGACCTGAGGGAAGTATCAACTTGTTCCCATTTCCTTATAGACATTGTTAAAGTGAGGCGTAGGCACCTTGAGTGTTGTCCAGCAAGATATGGATGCCTTACACAGTGAGAAGGTGGCGTACAAAATTCAGAGTACATATAGTCAAGTAGATCTCCTTTCGTTCTCTATTACGTAGGACAGTGCTGCATCAACTATAACCTTGGGTGCTTCCTCTCTTGCATAATTGCTAGCTTCTTACTTGGGACTAAAGGCCATTCTGAATCATAAGGCTACTCATCATCATGTACTGCCTTCATAGCCTTCTTGTATGCTAAAGGCATAAACTCATCCGATCCAAAATGTGATGAAACTGCGTTAAATACTAATTGTTGTGCAATTTATGGCCATCCATGTAATTTGTTGTAGGTGTGTTTCTTTTGATCTTTGTTGCGTTTCTCTAGTTTCTTCCACAAGATAGTGGTGGAAAGTGGAAAGCAATGGGGGCTCTTATGTAACATTCGTCTCGAAAAATGTGAAATCTGCTTATAGACCTGTATGCTCCTTTTCTTGGACGTGCTTCTGATGATACGTCTAGAGATGTCTGTGAAGATGTCTCTTGACTTTATTGTCACCTAGCGAACCTATTTGATTTATCGGTTGTCACTTCGCTCAAATAAGTATACTATGTGTTCAGAACAAATGCTTTAATTGCTATGTGTTTAGATACTCCATTTAATTGCTATGTGTTTGAGATGTCTGTGAAGATGTCTCTTGACTTTATTGTCACCTAGCGAACCTATTTGATTTATCGGTTGTCACTTCGCTCAAATAAGTATACTATGTGTTCAGAACAAATGCTTTAATTGCTATGTGTTTAGATACTCCATTTATTCTATGTTACGTGTCACCATTTGACTTGACTTTGGGTTTAAAGTGTTAACTTGATTTCTCTAAAGGAAAGTTTATTGGCAAGAGGGAACCATTTCTCACCAAGCCCTACCTACCCTATGTATTTGAGGGAGAGGCTGGAACCAAAAAAGACCAGGTTCCATCTAGTTTTTCAGTAGGTTTGATAGGGAGAAATTTTGAATTTGAATTGTCCAATGAGTTTATTTGTGAAAGTTGGATTACATAATATTAATGCAATGGTGTCAAACAATTTGGGATATTCAAAAATGGGAAGGGCATCATATAAATTGGTGGTACAGAGGGAGTAGTTATTTTGAAATACAGAAGATGGTTTTTAAGGTTTAATGATCAAACTGCAATGTGATTTTCATGAGTCATCAAACTGTGGATGTGAATGTCTGACAAGCAACCTAGATTTTGATTTTCACGTGACCATTATGTGCTCATTTCAATCTTTTTTCTGATGCAGAGTGTGTTTCTTTGCCAAGTATTCCCACGGGTACCTGGTATTGTAAATACTGTGAAAATATGTTTGCAAAAGAAAGATTCGTCGAGTTTAATGCCAATGCTATTGCTGCTGGGAGGGTTGCTGGAATTGATGCCTTTGAACAGATAACAAAGCGTTGCATTCGCATGGTGGAAGCTCTAGACACTGAAGTTAGTGTTTGTGTGCTGTGCAGGTCACGTTTCTTTTCCTATTTTTTCCTCTACTAAGTCAACTCAATTTTATAGATGGTCACAAGTACTTGCATGATGTTTAAAGAACAATGATGCACTTGTGATGTCCAGATGGTATTCTTTTAATCTTCAAGGGCAATCTTTGTTTCTTTCGGTAGCCTGTTTTGTGCATATCTGGATCACACCCTTGAGGAAAAAAAAACTTCCGTAGTTTATCTTATATGACGGTATTTGAGGTAATTGTTTGAATTATATATCATATTAGTGATAATGGAGGAAAAATAGTAGAGTAATGGTTGAAAAGTTTGTTCGATAAAGAACCCATTATACTGATTTCCAAACCGTGCGCCATTGGCCCTCGAGAATTTCTCGATTATCCAACAAAAAGTTAGTTTGACAGAGTAAACATCACATCAAATTTTAAAAGTTGAATAGTTTAATAAATCTGAATTCTAGAGAGATGTGGAAGTTTTATAGAATTGGAATGATGTCAAAACATTTTGGAATATCTCAAAACAGAAAGAACGTCATATAAGTTGGAATCGGGGGAGTATTGCATACTTGATAGTAACGAGGTGTGGACTGTGTTCCAGATATGCTTAATGCCTGGAATTTGGATCATGGTCCTGTAATATATCATCGTGTGATAGTGATCATCACATGTTCTCAATACAAATATCATGTCTTTGGAAGTTCATATTAACATTGTGCCGCTGCATCATCAGATATCTATTGAGGCTGAGTTAAATGTGTATTTTCCTTCAGTTGCAGAGTAAAAGATATATTAGAACTGTGTCAAAGTTGAACACTTCCCTCTGTTGCTATGCTGTTCAGGAGTCTCATATCATTTGTTGATGTTTGCAGGAGTCAGGATTTCAGCAAATCAGGATTTGACCCACGGACAGTAATTATTTGTGATCAGGTATTATTTTGTTAGTATTAATTATATAATATCTCAAGTTTCTACTCTTGAAAATTCTCATAATAGTCAAGTATTGAAGAAATTTCCATTCCTTTTTGCAGTGTGAGAAGGAGTATCATGTTGGATGTTTGAAGGAGCACAACATAGATGACTTACAGGTTTGCAGAATTTCCTGTTATATTGCATGTTCTTCTATTTCTTATATCTCTCCTTGTCTTGTTTTATATACGGATTCTTAACCTTGAACATTTTCACACATACTGATCTCTAAACGTTTGAAACCCTCCTAATTACAGGAGTTGCCAAAAGATAAATGGTTTTGCTGCACAGACTGTAGGAGAATTCATTTTGCTCTGGAAAAGCTGGTATCAGAAGGCGAACTGAAGATTCCAGAGTCTCTGTTCAAAGTCTTGAAGGAGAAGAACGAAGGAAAAGATTCAGAGAATAACTCCAGTCTGGACATTAAATGGCGGTTGCTGAGTGGGAAAATGTCATCTGAAGAAACTAGGGTCTGGCTATCTGGTGCTGTTTCCATTTTCCATGTGAGTTCGTTTTATTAATTTCTTTCTTACTCCACTTCTTGGTTGGAAAAGAAGACCAACATCACCTCTACGAGGTCTCCTGCTAAGAATTGCAAATAGTGCATCTTTAACTACTCATTTTGCCTTTGAGATTAGATACAACTACCTTTTCCATTATGTTCCTTTTCTCTTTTATGTCCTTTTAGGCATTTACTTGAATAGTCGCTGGTTACTATGCTTTTGTGTGCATTAAGTTAATTCCCCCACCCCTCCCCACCTAAGAAAGCAACCAAGCTCCTTGATATTTGCATCACTAACCTTGTTGAAATCAGAGATAAATAAAGATCAGTCCTGTTTTTAGGGTGTGTGCTTGCTTTGGCATGTCTAAATTCTAATATTAATAAATTTGTCATCTTACTAGTGGAACACTTTGTTTTCTTTTTCCATCCTTATTCTGAGCTTTATGAAGCTTTCTGTCTTTCAAAATTTCTCTTCAGTGTTTTAATGCTAAATTGAAATATCCTTTTAGGTTAGTGAGAAGAAGTCACTTTCTTTCCTTCTTAGTAAGTCCTTTGTTTCGACCCACAATTTGCAAGAGTTTTCAAGTGCTTGAGTTATCTTCTGCTGTTTCTAATACCAGTTTCTGGTCCATTCCCTTAATGGTACCCTAATACCAGTTCTTTGTTTTGACCCATTGCTATCATTGCCCAGCTTGATTATTATTTGTTTATGTTTCAGAAGTTTCCCTTTCTTTATTTACAATATGCCAATATGGATTAAGTCAAGTTTGGCTACTAGGTGATAATTTCTGAAAGAACTATAATCACAACAAAAATCTAACTCCTGATCCATAAAGCAAATGTGGGGATCCTAGTTGTTAACTTGTTATCTCCTCACTACTAATCCCCTGGGTTGTTGGTTTATGATTGGGAATGGAAAAGAGGACATAATTTAGTCTAGTTGTTTAGTTTTGTTTTTGAGTCCGTAGGATTGAATTGTGAAGTATTAATATCCCTCCTATTCATGGGATAATTTTTTCCAATCAGGTTAGTGGGATGATTTCCTATTAGAAAAATATCGTTTTTATAACTTTGCCTTGTGTCTCTCTTTCCCTTTACACCAATTTTTTTTTTTAAAAATTCATGTTTCTCTACTGTTTTCTTTCTTTAGTAATTTTTTCCTATTACTAATCTTTTGTATAATATATCTGTTAAAAGTATTTAAATCTTACTGTGACCCTGCTTACTATGGAGTGTTTTACACTATGGTAAAGGATATACTGTCACTTATTTAATCCCAGCATTATTCTTTTTAAGCAAAACAAGTGACAAATTGTTATAATCCTAATCATAATGCCCTCACAAGTCTAGTGGTAGTAGAATCCCAGATTATCATTTCTGCAAACAACTCTGTCCCTGTGCAATGCTGTATTTGCAGTTCACTTGAAAAACTCCAGTTGTATTAGTCCTATTCACTTGATGTACATTTTAGTTGTAGCTAGTTGTGGTATGCTTGGGAGTTTTGTAGTCTCCACGCTAATTGGTGAGACTTATTATACATGTGAATTGATAATCTGTATTTTGTCTTGTGGCATAGGATCGATTTGACCCAATTGCTGATGCAAGTACTAGCCGTCTAGATTTGATCCCACACTTGGTCTATGGGTAAGTAATAATGTTTATTTAACATCTGGTTTTCTTTGTTGTGTCTTATGAATGGTCTTAGTTTAGTGCACATAACCTGGACCTCACTCTGTTTACATATCATGATATACTCAGAAGGAATTTCAAGGACCAAGACTATGGAGGGATGTTCTGCGCAATATTATTGGTCAAGTAAGAAATAAATTTACCATATCCCAGATAAGTATTTGGTAACCCATTCTGAATCACTTTCCAACTTTGCAGTTCTTTGGTTGTTTCTGCTGGCATTGTCCGTATTTTCGGGAAGGAATTAGCAGAACTCCCTTTAGTTGCGACAAGTTCTAATTGTCAAGGACAGGTGACTCTCGCTTAAATTTTAAGCTTAAAATGCGTCTGATTTTAGTTTATCCTACCTTGTGAGGATATACCTTGCCGTTTCAGATGTTTTGTATTTTGTTTTAATTAATTTTGTTTTTTCGTGCAGGGCTACTTTCAGTCTTTGTTTTCTTGTATTGAAAACCTTCTGCAGTCCCTGAATGTAGAAAACCTTGTACTTCCTTCAGCAGCAGAAGCAGAGTCAATCTGGACAAATAGATTTGGCTTTAAGAAGATCACTGAAGAACAGGTAACCTGATAAGTTGATATAAGAATATGTGTGCACCTTTCATCTATCTATCCCTTTTTAAATTTTTTTTTGTTAACCTGTGCATCATTCTCCTTTGCAGCTGAAATACTATCGGAAAAATTACCAGATGATGGTTTTTTCTGGAACATCCATGCTGCAGAAGCAGGTTGGGGGTTCTTGATGCGATGGTGGTTGGCCTTGGTGGCTTTCATTTTACTGAAGAGAAGCAATTGAATTTTGGAGGCATGATTTGTTCTGCACATATTTTGTGGAAATTGGGTTCCATTTTCCCGTCTAAGTCAAAACGATGTATAGTTCAGGTTTCGTTTTGGTGTATATAGGGGATAGTGTAGTCTCAATCTGTTATGCTTGCTGGATTCGGCAATACAGGCAAGAACTGTCGGTATGTGAATGTACACATCAGTTGTTAAGAGGAGCTATTGTTCGGAAAAATTGGATCATCTCAGTTTTGGAAGTTGCCAACAGATACTCTCACAGGATTTAGATAGGGTGTCTGTTGTTTTTAAGGGGTGTGTTGATTCTCTTATATGAGAAGGTCCTGATCTGCTCTAGTGGCTCCATTTTTGCTACATTAACAATTGAAAACTCTCCTTAGTTTATCATAGTATAGTTGATTTGTTATTTTAATCATTATTAGCACTCTTTCTTTGTTGTATGTGTAAAACTCTTACAAAACTAAACTAAGTTCGCAACTTGTTTCCTAAGATAAGAACAAGGCTTCTTTCCTGAGCATAACCAATGGGCCGATTTGATTGTTATAGACTCGAGGCTTATGCATCTTGAGTTTTTGACACAAACTCCCCAACTAGAAGGAAATATGTTTAATAGAGTTTCAGTTTAGTCTGTTGTTTTTCGCTCAATTGAAAGCGATTAACACTAGTACAACATTTAGATTAATATTTTTCTCAACATAATTATTTTCCAGAATTATCCGTTCAATCAGATTAGGTTATGTATTTGTTTTTCTAAAATAGGTATATGACGAGAAAATAGTTTCTTATGATTGGTTCAATTTGAATAAAACAGAATGATCCAACAGAGATCTCATGTATGCTATTTTATCTATATCTTATCACAACGTACATATGACTAAAGGAACATTGTAATGAACCATAAAAAATTTCGAAAACCTTTATTATATGGTATTTTTACAAAATAATGATTAACTTTAGGCATTTAAATGAAAAAAATAGTCCATTTGCAAGCATATACCTTCTTTAAGCAATTTATTATTTTTATTAAACAATTAAGAGGAACTAGTAGTCGTGCGCGTGCAATGAGCGGTCAATATTAAAAAATAGTAATGAAATTAAATTGTGATCGAGATTATTTTAACATATTAGATCGTATTGCTTTAATAAATTTCAACTGTCATCTCACTTGTCAATACACTATACCCAAGGACAAAATATCTATTAAATTAAAAAGAGGACTTAACAGTTATTGATTAATTTTTTTGTTCTGTATTTTTTTATTATATCATCCAATGTTTAGTATTATTACATTATTAATATAAATTTGTATTAGTGTAATATTTTGCTTAATATTTTTTCCGCTACTCTCTTTTTAATATAATCGAAAGCTATAAATTTTCATCAAATAAATAATACAATATTTTTTTTAATTAGTGTAAAGAAATAATCTTAGGAGATATAATTAATTTTTATTTTTTATTGCATTAAAAATCAATTAAAAAGATTGCCAAAATCTAAGGAAAAAAATAAGTTATTGCATATATATCAGTTATAAAATTTTAGGAGATATAATTCATTTTTTATTTTTCTTGCATTAAATAATTGGAATTTGAACTCGTGCCATTGTGATTCGAACCGTTTACATTTTGGTTATTGAATTATCTCTTTTGACACCCTTGTTTCCAATTTATTGAAAATCTTCACTAGTGTAAGTAGGTAGTTTTATCTTTTATGTCCCTGCAAATCGTGATTCAAATTTTTATTTATCCTAACACTCCTATAAATATTATTTTAGAGAAAAAAATTAATCGGAAACATAACTTTTCTTTTTCCTTGTGCAAAAATAACTTAAACGCTAGAAGTTCCACATGAATGGAAACATCTGGACACAATCTTTAGTGTAAGCGGGAAACATTCAAAATTTGAAATTCAAAAATGTACCGTTTTCCCCTTTTTATCATTTTAAAATCTAAAACACACAATAAAAGGAATACTTAACATATTTGCTTATTTGTTAAATCCGCATACGTCATAAAGCATTAGAATTAGTTCTTTGCCCTTACTTTACATCCATTTCTCACTTTCGTCTCCTTTCTCCATCACAAACGCATAGGTAAGTTTCTAGAAGATTCCATCATTTTTTCTAGCTGAAAAATTAGGGTTTTTTTAAATTTTCGAGATACTTCATTCATTACAGATCTGTTTAAACCAATTGTTATTTGTTATTCTACTTTCTCCAGTTATTTTGAACTGAGAAATGGGGCAGATCCAGTATTCTGAGAAGTACTTCGATGACACCTACGAGTATAGGTATTTTTTGTTTAATCAGTTTGAATTTTCAGTAATTTTTTGTATCCACTTATTTTTCGTAATGATTTTAGTAATTCGTAGTGGTTTTTCTGGATTTTGTATTTTTCAGGCATGTTGTTCTTCCTCCTGATGTAGCGAAATTGCTACCGAAGAATCGTCTTCTGTCTGAAGTGAGTGATCCTTTTACCTCTAGGATTTTGTATGTACTCATTTTCACTTTTTTAAATTTGCGTATGGAGATATTGAACTAGCAAATGATAATCAACGATATTATGTGCTATCATTTTAGAAGTTCTTCAATTGAAATGATTAATCGAATGCTAATCACAATAAATGATTCGTGTGTACTATTGGATTATTGTTTTGCACTAAGTGAAAACTCATCAATAGATGTGGCTTTCTGCTGCTTTGTTTCGTGTAGTCAAGCATAGAGGTGGGCATAATCCGAAATCCAAACCGAAATTCGAATTTTTTGGATTTTTGGTTTTGACTTTCGGATTACGGATTGTATTTTGGATTTAATTTTTAAAATTTTTGGATTTCGGATTGGATATTGTATTTTGTACTTCGGATTTTCGGATATGGATTTTTGGATATCCGAAAATCCGAATTTTTTTTACTTTATAATTACTCCATTATGCATATACCAATAGTAATAAGTTGAATACCCTACCCATTAGATATTATCTCATATATTCAATATTAATTACTAAGTTATTGTCAGAATACTTTTTATTTGGACATGATTTTACTATTGCTACTTTTTATCAGCCGTATTAATGTTTGTGTTGTATTTTTTATATATATAATAATTTTATTACTTGAATACTTTATTTGGAGTATTGCGGCAAGAATGAGTAACTTTTAAGGCAATTTAACATGAGTACTTAATTTGGATATTTATTTTGTAAAAAGTAGAAACATCTCAACTTATATGCTCAAAACCGGAAATCTATAATATCCAAACCGATTAATTCGAAACCGAACTAAAAAAATCCGATCCAATCCGAACGTACTTGGATTGGATTTAGATTGTCATTTCTTCAATCCGAAAACCTAAAATCGAAACCGAAATTCTCATATTCAATCTGAACTGCCCGAACGCCCATCCCTAGTCAAGCCAAGCATAATGATTTTGATTTTCTGGTATTCTATGCGGTTTATGTTCATCTTGCTTGATTACTTGAATGCTGATTTAAATAGATGATATTGTGTGTACAATTAGATTTCCATTTAGCACTATGTGCAAACTCATATATAGATGTGGTTTTGTGCTGCTTTATTTCATGTAATCAAACTGAATGATTTTGATTTTCTGTGTTGCATGTGGTTTGCATTGCGTCTTCTTGTTTGATTACTCGAAGGCAAATCAGATTAATGATATCATGTTGTACTATTAGATTTTGATTTAACGCTCTGTGTAAAGTGTAAACTCATAAGTTGATGTGGCTTTTTGCTGATTTTTTACTGTTAATGAGAAGATTTTGATTTCTGATATTGCATGTGGTTTACAATGTGTTCTTCTTGTTTGATTACTCGAAGGCAAATCAGATTAATGATATCGTGTTGTACTACTATTAGATTGTAATTTAGCGCTATGTGTAAACTCAAGAGTAGATGTGGCTATGTGCTGCTTTATAGCTGCTGACGAGCAGATTTTTGATTTCTGCTATTGCATGTGGTTTACAATGTGTTCGTTTTGTTTGATTGACAACTAGAATGAGTGGCGTGCAATTGGAGTTCAGCAGAGCAGAGGATGGGTGCACTATGCTATTCATCGACCAGAGCCACACATCATGCTCTTCAGGAGGCCATTGAACTATCAGCAGCAACAAGAGAACCAGGCTCAGCAAGCTATGCTTGCCAAGTGAAGAAACACGTCTCTCGTTTCTTTCCTAATGAATCAAATCATATACAGATAGTAATGTTCATTTCATCTAGAAATGATATGATAGCTTATGTGGATGTCCAGTTAAATGTCGGGATTTTGAAGATGTTAAGTACTGTAATGCTTAGCTCTTCACTTTCAAGTTTAGGTATTAAAATACTGTTTTCGAATTGTTCAAGGTTTATATCTGTGTGCTTGGAATTGGAGCTATATGGATGTGATTGTGAATTAAGACTGGTTTGCATTGAATCTATTTGTTTTTTTATTATGTATTGGTCAAGACGCATGTCTGTTTTTTTATGTGGGATTTTGATGCCCTACAGTTTTTATAGGGCATATTCTCTTATTGGATCTTTACCCACTACCATTTGTTTGATTCCTGTGGTGTTTTGGCTAGTTCTGTCTTCTTTAAGGAACATGTTGTTGCTTTTAATTATACATCTATCGTTTGTGGCCTTTTGAAATATTTCATTTCAAGGAAACACTATTTTTGAGACAGGGATTTGAATATGGGGTTGGGGCTGAGGAAGCTAATTAGGTTTGGAGTGGATCTGATCTTGTCGAATATTTACTGGTCATATCAACAGTTATCTCCAATCTCTTTATTTCAGATGTTAGATATGATCCAAATTATTCAAATAGTAGCAACGTTGTTGGGGAAGTAGTCAGATCAGTAGTTTGACACAATCTCTGTATTTAATAAGTTTGTCGATATAGACCATATTATAGAGGTAAGTTTGTAGGAAATGATTTTTTCGAATCTTAGATGTGTAGATGAAATGTGGAGGGCCGTTTTATATGCCAATTTCGTGAAAAAATTACTCTAGCATGACGACGTATCTTGTTTATTGGATTTTTTACCTTGTTTCCTTGTTGATTTTTACGCAGTGGAAATTGTCTCATTTGCTGTAAGAAACATAGAAGTTCATGTGCTGTGGTGCCCTTTCATTAGTGATCTATCTAATTTCCTTGGCCAAGAATCCCCAATTATGGTCACTTTCCCTAAGCAGATTTCTTAAATATTATGCACGACAAAGGAGAATAAAGATATTTGAATTCCTTAGTTTGGTTAGAACAAAGATTTTGGAAGAAATGTGTGATCCTTTTCTGTTTTTACTTGTTGAAAAGTGGTAGTCATATTGAATTTGGACTTGCTATGTTCTTTCAGAATTTTAAACTATCTCCACCTTCCTTCCCCAATCTTTTGAAACCCATATTGGTAATATTGATCGAATTGAATTAGATTAGACTCGGAT